GCCTATAACATGTTATGAAATATATTTATAATAAATGATTGAATGAATAATTTTTATTAGCTTAACAGATTAGTATAGTCGTTGACTTATTTTTCGTACATGTTTTTGCTTTTGGCTAGTCAAAAATCTGAGAAAATGATACATCTTTACAAAACTACAACAGTATTCTGAAACAAGACTCCAAATATAAATTAAAAATAGGATTATATTATTCTGCCTTCTCAAATTTGTTAAGTGTTACTAATTAGATACCCACCTTTCTATTCTGTTTTCCTGAACAAAAATGAGCAGACTCTTAGTAACTTTCGAACTGTGATGAGCAACAGAATTTCTGGTATGTTTTAAAAAAGAATGTAAATATTACGAGCTGTATCCAAGAGCTACTGAATTTCGACTTATATGACTAGAGCCCCAGGATTTCTATTTTGTACGAGATGCCCAGAAAACTTTTATGTACGCTATATTTCAAAGAAAAAATGTGATCTAAAGGAAAGAGATTTCGACAGAGTCAGAATAATTTTATTTCAGTAATATTTCATGCAAAAGCTTTAAGAAAATATCTGAACCTCATTAAGTCTCAGTTTCCTTGAATTATATAAAGAGAATGAATTATATAAATCAACTTTATATCATTATTGTGAAAATTCCATAGGACAGTGTATGTATAAAGTACTTTCTAAATGACAAATAGATATTTTAGCACTGATTTGGCCTCTCACTATTCTGTAACTTTGACAATATTAATCTCAAAATGTTTCATATTTTTTTTTAACCAATGAAAACAAGAACTCATGTATCATATTTGGTTTTATCAAAATAAATGAGAAAATATAGGAAACCGATTCAAAAAGGAAAAAAAAATGTACTATCATTTGAAGATTCAATAATCTTTACCATCTGGTGAGCTAATAATGGAATGGGTGAAAAATACTGAAATAATAATGACTTAATGCTCACCTATCAAGTCAAACGCATTGTGCTAAATGTTATATATTTCTCTCTAATTTTTATAGTTAATTTGCTACTGATACCCCTTTTCCAAAAATGAAAAGCTAAGTCTTAGAAAGTTCAGATAACTGACCTAAGGTGATGTCAAACAACATTCCTTACGTGGCTCTGGGGTTTTATTCTGATCCTTATTTGCATATTTATCTGAGTTTTAACTCCATGATATTCAGTACTACATAAAACTACTTTACATAATTCAGCATAGACAGGACATGTAGATTTCAGAAGATTAAAAATTATGAGTAGGGACAAATAATTTTTTTATTGATTGAAAGTGAACTTAGAGGTAGCTTTTCTACTTCTGCATGCTAAAGATAAAGTGGACTTTGTGGTTGACTCTCTAATATTCACTCTGCATGTCTCAGTGTGGTATAAGGAATTAACCCCTCTGCCTACTCCCCATTATTTGAGTGGCCTTGATTGGTCTGTATCAGTCCTGTGAATCTCACGTGCCCCTGTTAAGGACTGGTTCAGGAAGCTAGGCCTAAGCCAGTCACATCATGGCAATCTTCCTATGATAGAGACTTGTTCAGCAGTAAGCACATTCTCTAAAATGGTATAACCAGATGGTAGGATGTATGTTTGTATGAAGTTTGGGAGAAATACACTAGTTCCTTCTCCTGTGGTATGTGAACAAGAGAGATTTAGCCTCTGTTGCTCCTGGATGTCACTCTGTGATTACAATGGGAACCAGCCTTAGTGTAAGGCCAAAATTGTAGATGATGGAGTGCTGAGACAAAACAAACCTGTGGGCCCTTGCATAAAAAGTTGAGCCACTATATTAACCAATTAAAACACCTATTTAACTTCGTGTCATGAAAACCAATGTATTTCTTTATTGTTTAAGTCAATTTGAGTTAGGATTTATATTATCTACAAGTGGACACATTCTAAAATATAAAGGATAACTGAGAAATCCTTTAGTTTACAAAGGATTAAAACTAGTAATTTCTTATATTTGCTAAGACTGGATATAGTAGCATAAGTAACCTGAAGAGAAGTTCTCCAATAATTGAATCATCCCAAATAAAATCCATTAGAATTTAAAAGTGACAAATCAACTGGGAAAACTGACAGAATATCTGGCTGAAGCTGACAGCCAGATAGGTAAACACAATATGCAGTAACATTTCTTAAATGACTGAAAATTTTCCTATTGGATAATGAAATTACCACTTTTAGATAGGCACTTGGGACTTATTAAAGATGTACTATCATAGCAATGTATTCCTCTGACCACAAAGTTCAATGAAGTATTGGAAATCAGAAAAAGAATATTACAGCAAAATTAAAACAACCCTGTTTTAAAAATCAAGCTTGAATATTCTGTGTGCTTCCCATTGATACCTTCATTTTTTTTTAAAAAAGGCTGAAAAGTATTGTAGAAACTATCATGTGAAGATAAAAATAAAAAGCTAAACTTGACAGTTTTGAAAGATGAAGGCTGAGTAGCTACCATGAGACAGAGGTTTTCATTCAGGCCTTGTCATTCTCCAGCTAAGTGTTTTAGGAATTTGTTGTACTCAAAACATTTGTTAACTATTGAGGCTGGATGAATTTTTAGAGGATTCCAAGAAAACAGTTGCTCTGGACTAGTAGTTAAAGAGGAAAAAGATGACTATTTTGCTGGTAGGAAATGGGAATAAGTAAACATATATTCCAAAAGACTGAAAAATGCAAGGCATTTTGAAGAGAGAAGAAGCAGATAGCTTAAGTTTGATCACAGAACCACGACTCCATAAAGGTGTTGAAAAGTTGGCTAAGTGAAGGCCTTAAACACCATGGCAATGAATTTGCACTTAATTATGTAGATCGTGGAAACCAGTACATGTTTTGAACTGGAGGTAGACTGAAACATTAGGCTTAATAAAGGAAAAGGAAATAATGAGAATAAAAAATTATTCCAAAATTTCATACTTAGATAAATTGGAAGAATATTGTCAGAATAAAGAGAGAGTCTGGAGGAGGATCTCAGAAGTTTTCTTTTCAATTTAATAAAATTGTTACTCAAATACATTCTGATCATACTGAAGTACAGGGGTGAGAAGATGCTAATTTGGATACTAAAGAGGGTTCAAAGGGTCAGGAATCATCTTTGTGTTGACTCTATCATGGGGAATCAGTCACGAACAGAAATAATGATGAACAGAAATGAGAGTCTATATGAAGTGAAAAACACAATTTTACTGGTGCTGACTCAATGCTGTTTCATTGATTCTTTGTGCCTTATGTTTGCTCATATACAGAAACAGAAGTAATTGAGTTTAAAAGTTGGCATGAGAAGTACCACGGAAGTCAGAAGTTTTACGTAGGAATTTAATTAGGTGTAGCTGGTGACCACACAAATTAAATGGAATCTATGTGACACTCAGGGCAAGGCTCCATCAATAAGAAGAAGCACCAGATGAAGCAGATTAAAGAAGCTGTGGTCAGAGGTTTCATGTTCCAAGGAGGAGATCAAGGTATACATGGTAGGGCTTCTTGGCCACAAGTTAGGGCCACTGTAATTGCAAATTGGGCAAAATTATAAGGTCCTCAGCTGGTTGATATATAACTGATAGTATAGCAACTCCCCTCTTGCACATAAAGTGTTAGTGAACACAGAAGCCTTTGGTTTGGATTTCCTAATTTCTTTGCTATACATTCCCTGTAGCCAGACTCCAGCATCTGAATCATTCTTTACTATTTGCATTTAATTTTTAATATTTGGATCAATGTTTCCTGTGAGAGTGAGTATATTTGTGTGTGTCTGTGTGTGCATCCTTACTTGCACAGTACAAAGAACAGCATGAGGTGGAAAGTAGGATGCAGCCGTGAGAAAATTCTGAAGGACTTACAGAGGTGGGAGAGCCAAGCTTCAAAGGGAATTCCTAAAACCCCTCTCCTACCACACAATTCTCAGATACTTTATCCTTTTATTTCACTGTATCTGCTGTTCTGTCTTATTGACAAGTTATGGGACATGGCAATATATTTAATATTAAATGCCCATGGCTATTGTTTATTCAGTTACTGCTCCATATTCTTTCCATGTTTCCTCCTTTGTCTGATTTAAAAAATTTTAATTAGTCTCTTTGGGGAAAAAGATTACATATTCATTCATTTGTATAATTGATCTGGTTTCTATCTGTGTCCTCACCCAAATCTGATGTCAAATTGTAATCCCTAATGTTGCAGATAGAGTCTGCTGGGAGGTGATTGGATCATGCAGGCAGTTTCTCATGGTTTAACACCATCTCCCTTGGTGCTGTCATGGCGGTAGTGGGTTCTCCTGAGATCTGGTTGTGTAGGAGTCTGTACCACCTCCCCCCTCTCTCTCTTGCTCCTGCTCTGGCCACGAAGATGTGCCTTCTTTCCTTTCGCATTCCACCATGACTGAAAGTTTCCTGCGGCTTCCTCAGCCATACTTCCTGTACAGCCTGTGGAAGAGTGAGCCAGTTCAACCTGTTTTCTTAGGATAAGGTAGTAAACAAGATAAAGAAGGTGCCTGCCCTTATGACTTTTAAAGAGAAGAAAGTCAATGAACAAGTGGAAGATAATTTCAGATAGTAACGAATGCAAAGAAGAAAAAAAAAAGGTGGTAAAAATTGAATTGGGAAGAGGTGGGCAACATTTGATAGGGAGCTGAGAAATAAATAAGAAAGAGCCAGCCAGCCACATAAATAATATGGGTAAGAGTTTTCCAGGCAGAGAACAGCATTGGCAACATTTTTATGAGTCTGGCAGTTGGAGCATAGCAAAGAAAGAGGAGAGCGGAGGAAATCATGTCAGAAAGATTAGCAGGTGCCAGATTATAGAGGGATTTGACGGTAATGGTAAGGAAGTTGGATTTTATTCTGAGTGTGAATCAGAAGCCACTGGATAACATATGAGAGAAGTCCAAAGAAAGAAGCCATTGAAATGACAAGGCAAATATTTGATGGAAGCTCTCAAAGGCTGTAGGACTGTTTGGGGGAAAATCTATTTAAATCATTAAAGGCATATGAGTAGTCTTCTTAGCAGTAAGGTTTTGTAGCAAACGTAAATTGTGATGCTCCAGTAAGTGACTTTTCAGTAGATGCTGTCAGCATGGTTTCAATGCCAGTGGTAGTTTCTGAGGATCCTTTGCATACTGGTCTCTTCCAGTCTTATTTAGAGCATGATTATTTTTCTATTTGCATTGTAAACAAAAGCAAAAATTAAAACATCCTTTCCCCGCACAAACCTTATATAATTGAAATTTAATGACATTGATCCTGATAAATGTAATTTGTGAATACATGATTGTCATTAGAAGACTTGAACTCTGATGCCTTCATTTTGTATGTAGCTCTGTAATTGGTTCAGGTTAGTCAGCTGTGAACCAAAATGACTGTGTCATTTTTGGCTGAAGTGTTTAGTTGCCAATGTAAGACTCTCTAGAGCACTATGTTTAAAGTATTTATTTAAATAATTTTTCTTTTTAGAAAAAATAAGCACTTCCTGGTCATTTAACACAAACTTCAGGTGAAAGGTAAATTAACCAAGATTTCCAGGCAGTAAAATAGACATAAATATTTAATGTAGTTTTACATGAGCTGAAGTTGTAGACACTTTATATAGTCCACTATAAAAGTAATGCTGTCCGTCCATCGAAGCTGATCCTTCTGAAATGGAAAACAGATATTTTAGGGTATTTTTTAAATGAACCGGTGAGAATAATTAAAAATAATCAACTAGTTTATTTAATACTTGAAGCAATCTAGATGCTATCCTGAAATTTATTTACTAAGCTACTATTGCATAAATACTAAGAACAGATGAGCTAAAGAAATCCTGTAGGAAAAGACCATATGGAGTGCTAAAGTATGCAATGTACCATGTTTCTACAAAGTTTTCTATAAATCCAATATTGGGTTTACTGTGTATGCCTCATTAGAATTCTGAAATGCAGACCAACATCAAGAAAATAAAGCGTGGCTATATGGACTTTTCCATTTGTTCAGTCTCACTATTCACTTATTAATGATTAATAGATATCCTTGTAACTTATTTTCACAAACCTATCACAGAGTAAATTTGAAATTGTTATTTCCAGTCACACACTAGGGCAACACATTTATAAAGTCATTCTCTTTATAGACAGATGCACCCTTGACAATATATGGGTAAACTCTAAGTAGGGCACTTTAAAAAATATTCTTCTTCTGAAGTGTAAATCTGTATTTGCTCTATTTATTTAGATTCTCCCTCATGATTTTTCTGGAAACCAACATGTTCTAAAGACATGTTTCATGATCATGGAAATAAGCCAAAGTTGACAAACATATATCTGGGCTCATTAATTTTATATTTAACTAAATAAGCAAATCAATAGTCCCCTAAGGACTTTAAAAAGAATAAATATTACACACTAAGTGCTTTAACTTAGGCAATGACTGACATATAGTGGAGAAAGAAGTGTCAGTGGTTTCCTGATGGCTACTAGCTTATGCTCTGAGGATTTTTGCTATACAACTGTAGGAAAAACATTTACCATAATGCAGCATGCCATTGGAGTTCAGCACAGACTGAAAGATGACTGCTGTCATGCAGCGACAGTGAACTTGGTACAATCCTGATGCCACCATCTAACTCATTTGGAGAAATGGAGACAGTGGGCTATTGCAGAAGCACTTAAATAGAGCAGTCCTGGGGGTGGGATAATTTGTAACAGATGTTCCATATAATGGATGGATTACAGGAAGAGTGTCTGTAATGCAGACTATCTTGTTCAGTGAGGTATGATGGATGCTGCTTATTAGCCTGACTTAACATCTGTGAGCTGAAGTTTTGAGACGAATATGTGAGCTTTGATTTACTGATTCATACAAATCAGGTGATAAAACATCTTTGCAACAGTGATTAAGTATTTCAAATGAAGCTTACTAATAACAGTTCTATTTCTTGAGATTGGTATGAAAGAAATAATTACATGATCCAATAACCTCCTGAGCAAAACATATAATTCAAGCAGACCTGTTTTATGCCATTCTTTTTTGTGATGAATGAACATTTAAATTAACCAAATCAGAGTGCCGACAAATGAGAATGCTGATACTTGGTATAGATAATTACGCTATGTAACTGATTTTCCTTTCCTTGAGATGCTGTATGCTTGTCCTAGAATGTTTTACAGTTAAAGACAATTCTAGAATAACTTGAAAGTCATTCACACTATTTGGTTTTATTGTTTAAAAAAATCTAAGTATTGCATGTGATTATTCTATTTTGCAATTATTTCCAAATCTTTTAGTGTCCTTGGTAGTGTTTAGGAAGGCTTTCTACTCTTTATTATAATTTTTGCATTGCTTTACTGTCAAGTAAACTGAAGGTTTGGTAAAGTCCCATGTAAACATTCACAGAACGCATTATTTATATTTCATAAATATTGAATACTGTGATTTGGCTCAGTTTTATAATATTTATTTCTCATTTTATATGCTACAAAGCTGATGACTATTACATATGCATATAGTGATGATTATGACTGATATGAAAGCAGTACCATTTAAATATGACCTCTCTATATGACCTGGTCTACATTTCTTACCTAGAATAAAATACAATTTATATATTTAACTTTGTTTTACTCAATTATATCTTCTTGGTGATTTTGTTTAACTATACTTGAAGTTCTTTAGTGTTTATTTCACACATGAAAAGTTCTCCGGTACACTAAGATATCCATTACATTTTGCTCAAGGATAGATGTCAACACAATGGAATCTTTAATGATATAAATAGATGTTAATAAGTGCACCCAACTTCAGGAAATTGATGTAAGATTTCATCAGCTCAGTTGACTGAATATACCGAATGGACCTAATGGTGCTTCATGGTTTATCCTAATGACAGCAAACTGACAGAAACCCCAATTATGCCAAGCCTACCAACATGCCAATCTGAGGCTTGTTCAGTATTCAAATACCTGAGGAAGGAGAAGTAGTCAAAATGCACTCTATCATCATTAGAGTGTGTCAAATTGTAATTAAACAAGATGGACACAATCAGATTATTATTGGATATTTCCGTCAATAGACGATAAGCTCAGGTCACCTATTGGAAAAATATAGACTATTTTCCTCCTATGAATACCGTAAGGAACAGTGGTTCGGCTGTTTAATCTTAAAGATAAGGGACATAGAAATTCTTCCTAGAGTTGAGAATCTGAACAATATTTACCAGTTACTGGAAAGCAATATACTGTTTGAAATCTAATTTCATTCTTTTATTTAAACCAGAAAATTAAATATATTTCCCCTTCTTCCTTCATTTTTCTTCTTCTTCCTCTTCCTCCTCCTCCTCCTCATTTCTCCTTTCTGCTTCTGCTACTGCTTCGTCTTCTTCCTCTTCCTCTTCTTGCTCTTCTCTTTGCCTTCTCCTCCTCCTCCTCCTTTCTTCTTATCCTTTTTTTTTTTTTTTTTGACAAGTGAGGAGATTCAGTCCAAAAGTGGTAGGATGACTTGCCTAATTATTTAGTTAGTGCCAGGGTAAGAATATAATCCCATCCTGGTTTATTTTTCTAATGCTGCAATGATTGGTTGGGTAACGACATTAGGCATTTTAAAGAATTTGAGTCATTTTTTAATTAGACTACTGAAATTTAACTAATATTTACTAAGTATCAGCAACAGACTAGGTCCAGTGCTAAATGTTCTGGTAGCCCAAAAACCTTGATTCTACATTTGTAGCAAAGATACAAGCAGATCTTTTCTCCACTATTTTTGGCTCACCTTGAATTTATGAACATTTACTTTCTCACTCACATAAATAACCTGAGAATTACCCTTTATATCTCATCTTCAGAATGCCTACCCACTTTGAATCTTGTAGAGGATATTTCTTTCTTAGTGGACTGCTTTTTCTAAAGCTAGGAACTCTCTTTTTCCCCTGTTTTCTTGTTAGGTACCCTAGCAGATTCATAATTTTCCAAAGGTAAATAAAGTCATTCAATAATACAGAGTAGAGACTTATGCAACCATGACAGCCAATCTTTTGTGTAAAGTTCTATTAAATCAGATTTTCCGCATATATACTAAGCAATAATATTTATACATTTTAGTTTTGAAAAATGAAAGAACGGAGACGTTTATTTAAAAGATTTTTAACCAAGAACAAGTCCCCTTTTTTTCCTTCTTGGCATTAACAAGCATCATCTGGTGTTCAGTTGTTTCCCCTACTTTTTCACCTCACTTGCTCTAACTCATTAGAGAGCTAATTGTCTTTGTAATTCCAAATTAAGGAGTACATAGTGAAACGGAGACATTACCTTGGCCAGGTGTTTGGGAGGACAAAATTCAATCTGCAGTAAAAGTCAGCAAAAGTTTCTTCCAATTAACACTAGTCCTTCCTCTGTTCAATCTGCATGGATTTTGGATTGTTGAGCGATGAAGCATTCCGGGAACAGACTACATTGTATATGGTGTTATAACAAATCAAGAAAATAATTAAGAATTCAGTATTTTGGAACACAGGCTGAAATAAAATATAATTTGGGAATAGAGACCAGAGCGAACTTACCAATTTTACTTTTGTCTTCTTAGGAGATGTGACTGGTCACTGGGTTGACTTTCAGTGTAACTTCTACTTGGAACTTGGGTTCCTTCTTGGTGACCACATTTGGGTTATCAAAAACAGGCCATAAAATGTGTATGTACCCTACAAGACTATATATTCCAGGTTTTACATAACAGCAAATTAATGCTTAATATTCAAAAGGCATCCTAAAGCAGTCTAGGTGACAGTCACAGGAAACAGAATGCATTCAGAAAAACAAAAAAGTCTGACTTTAGATGTGCCTGTAGAACGCATACGAATAAATGGGATGATTTTTACAAACCATTCAAACAAACGAATGAACAGATACAATGTACTTTCAATATTTTGCCTAAATAATACTGATGAGTTTCAGACCATCTTTTTTTTTTTTTTTAAACATTAAAGGCCACTGTGTTTTGTTTTGTTTTCATGACACTTGGTATAAATTACCCATAAGTAGGCAAAAACAACCAATATCAAAGGGCTGAAGAATGCTGGCAATGGAAATGATGGTCAGGTACTTTCTCAGGCATTTGGGAGTTTTGTTTTTGCCTCAGAAATTGTGACAATTATAAAAAATTTAAAAATGAGAGCATGAGAAGAGATTACACACAAAGAAGTCTAGCAGCACTCAATTCTCTGGGTGGCATTTTGTCCAGAAGTTCTTCCTTCCTTTCTTTTCTTTCTTTTTTTTTTTAATTATACTTTAAGACCTGAGATACATGTGCAGAACGTGCAGGTTTGTTATATAGTTATAGACGTGCCATGGTGGTTTGCTGTACACATCAACCCCTCATCTACCTTAGGTAATTTTCCTAATGCTATCCCTCCCCTAGTCCCCCACCCCCAGACAGGCCCTGGTGTGTGATGTTCCCTCCCTATGTCCATGTCTTCTCATTGTTCAACTCCCTCTTATGAATAAGAACATGCAGTGTTTGGTTTTCTGTTCCTGTGTAGTTTGCTGAGAATGATGATGGTTTCCAGCCTTATTCATGTCCCTGCAAAGAACATGGAACACATCCTTTTTTATGGCTACACAGTACTCCATGGTGCATATGTGCCACATTTTCTTTATCCAGTCTATCACTGATGGGCATTTGGGTTGGTTCCAAGTCTTTTCTATTGTGAAATTATACATGCAATAAACATACGTGTCCATGTGGTCTTTATGTAGAATAATTTGTAATCCTTTGGGTATATACCCAGTAATGAGATTGCTGAGTCAAATGGTATTCCTGGTTCTAGATCCTTGAGGAATCACCACACTGTCTTCCACAATGGTTGAACTAATTTACTCTCCAACCAATAGTATAATTGTGTCCCTATTTCTCCACATCGTCTCCAGTATCTGTTGTTTCCTGACTTTTTAATGATTGCCTGATTGCCATTCTAACTGGCATGAGACTCACTGTGGTTTTGATCAGCATTCTCCAGTGACCAGTGATGATGAGCATTTCTTAATATGTTTGTTGGCTGCACACTTTTTTTGAGAAGTGTCTGTTCATATATTTCTCCCACTTTTTGATGGAGTTGTTTTTTCTCATAAATTTGTTTAAGTTCTTTGCAGTTTTTTAATATTAGCCCTTTGTCAGATGGATAGAGTGCCAAAATTTTCTCTGATTCTGTAGATTGCCTGTTCACTCAGATGTTAGGTTTTTTTTTTTTTTTTTTCCCCCCCACTGTGCAGAAGCTTCTCAGTTTCATTAGATCCCATTTGGGCAGGGGCAAAGACCTCGTGACTAAAACACCAAAAGCAATGGCAACCAAGTTCTTCCTTTGTAGCAAAACCCAGGGCATGTAGATAAGAAGTCTTGCAAGATGTTCTGAGGAAGCAGTCAGTAGAATTTAATATTTTAGATAAATGGCAAGATATGGGGTCAGAGGAAGTTCAGATTTTTCAGTAAATTTAGTGGTCATTTAGGCCAAGGTGTAACATAGGAAGTCATTACTACTTTCTCATGGTCATATGGTAAAAGATTAGGTACTTTAGAGGATTTATGAATGTGAGGCCTATCCTTAGAGACAGATGGTAATGATCAAGTTCTGTATTTGCAAACTCATGTAGAATATCTTCATTCTTTCTTGGGCTAGCAAATGATGACAAATCCTGAAGTTTCAGTGAGTATATCATCTTGATAAAAGTTCTCTGACTCCTACACAAAGTTTGTCACTCCGTTCTTTTCTTTCTTATTCCCTTTTACCCTACTCTTTCCCTACCTCTCTCTTTGTCTTTCTTTTTCCTTTCCCTCCACAAACATGTATTAATATTTTTCAGGGCCAAGCACTGTGGCTCACGCCTGTAATTCCAGCACCTTGGGAGGCTGAGGTGGCTGTATCATGAGGTCAGGAGTTCAAGACCAGCCTGGCCAACATGGTGAAACCCCATCTCTACTGAAAATACAAAAATTAGCTGGGTGTGGTGGCGTTCACTTGTAATCCCAGCTAGTTGGGAGGCTGAGGCAGGAGATTCGCTTGAACCTGGGAGGCAGAGGTTGCAGTGAGCCGAGATTGAGCCACTGCACTCCAGCCTGAGCAACAGCAAGACTCCACCTCAAAATTAGAAACTAAGTAGGTCTAGGGGATATTATGACAAATGAAATGGAAACCATCTGGCAGTTGACAGTGGAAGGCAGTATAGTAATTTAAAATGCTGGTCTGCCTGGACTCTACTCACTATTGTTCTACTTGTTAGAGTGACATTCAAACAAGTTCTTAAACTTCTCTGTGACTTCATTTCCTTATCTATAAAATGAAACTAAAAATAGTACCTCTTGCATATTGTTTTTATATGATATGCTAAATAAAGTGAAATAATTCTTATAATATGGAGCCTTTGTGCAGTGCCTGACACATAGGAAGAACCTGATAAATGTTAGCTGTATTTGTTATTTAGTAATGGAGCTGATGATCAGAGAGAAACGTGCTGCTCATAGGTGGATAATAGCACATCTCACGTGATGTTGTAAAAAGATGTGAAAGTTGTTCATGTTTAGCTAGATCATAGCACGATGCTTCCCACATATTATGTGCTCTATAAACGTTTGACGAGTAAGTAGTAAATGAATGAATGAAGGGATAACAAGGTTAAAGTTAAATAATTTGCAAAAGTTTCACAACCACTCAGAGCATGTGGGGATGTGACCCAGTCTCTTAAGATTCTGCACTACCTTTTACACTTAATTGTTTGCTCTTCTTCATCTACCATAATTTGGTTATTACACCCATCATTCCACTGAACTTGTTCTTGTGAAGGTCATCATTTACTTCCAAGTTGCTTAATTCACTGGCGTTTATTGGTTCGTATTTTACTTAGTTTTGACACCGTTGTCCATTTTCTCCATCCTGTAATTGTCTTGTCTCTTTGTCCCTATGATTTACTTGGGTTTTTGCCTAGTAGTGCTTGATCGCTGACAACAACTTTACATTTCCTTTGCAAATTCCTCCTTCTCGTCAACATTAACGTTTCTCAGCGTTCCATTCCAGCATTTTCCCCTTCCTATTCTTCACAGGCTGTTTGTTTTGTATTTTGGTTTTTTGAGACAAAGCCTCACTTTGTCGCCCAGGGTGGAGTGCAGTGACACAATCTTGGCTCGCTGCAACCTCCCCCTCCTGATTTCAAACGATTGTACTGCCTCAGCCTACTGAGTAGCTGGGACTACACGTGTGTACCATCATGCCCAGATAATTTTTGTATTTTTAGTAAAGATGGGGTTTATTGTAAAGAGGTACAGGGTATCTCTTTAATTCCCACCTGACTTTAAAATGTAAATAGTATTCAAATCTACATATCAAAGCCAGTGTTTCTCTCCTAAGTTCCACAGCTACACAACTATTTGCCTACTGGATACTTCCCTCTGGAGAACCCTAAATGTTATTCCCTTACCACCAATCCACTTCTCTCCACATCTTCCTGATTACATAAATGTGATTATGAATAACTATGATTGCATGATCATTCTCTACTGGGGGAACACAAACACAAAATTTATTGTCTAAACCAAAACAATTTTAAGGGTAAAAGGGCCTCATAGATGGTAGGCCCCTTTGGCATCAGTAACTACTTTGGCACTCTAAGTATAACTTGGAGCTGTCTTAGTTTACTAGAGTATACGGTGTCCCTCTGATGGGCCACTCAATTAAGCATTACAATTGGCATTCTTCTTTGCCTTCTCTTTTCCATAACCAGTGGGTCATCAAGTTCTGTAGATGTGTCTCCTTCCTGTCTTTTGAATATATACACATCCCTTCCTATCTCCATTATCATTGCCTTTTATAAGACCCTTCTTATTTCTTGTCAAGATTGCTGTTAGTGTCCCATCTGCTTTAGTAACAAGCCACTGGTCTCAGTGTCCTCTAAAGCACTCTACAATTTCCTGAATATACTTTTTAAATATATGTCTTATCGTGTCCCTTTTCTGCTGTGATCCTTTGAGGGGTATGCGTCACTTGCAGTGTAAGAGTTAAAGTCCTTCCCAAAGCATCAGAAAGCATTTTTTCCAGTGCTGTGCCACCACGTCTCCCTCTTGCACTCTAGAACTCTCCTGGCGTGTAGTAAGCACTCACTAAACAGTGAATGAAATCAGATTTTAAAACATAAGCCCACACACCAAGAATTTATCTCCACAAACTTACACAAATGTGAATTGACAGTATTTTTATATTAGGATAGATGTATGAAAACATAGTTAAGTCTGTAGGACGAAATATAGTGAAATACAGTCTCATCTTACAATTATGACTCCAGCTACGTATTAGATAACACTCAGTTGATTAGAACTTTTCTCAAATTTGAATCAGAGTATTTGTTTCAAAGTGGCCAAATACTCCCATCAAGAAATCTGAGAATGTCTCAATCAGTCGACGGAAATATCAGTCCCTAAAAGAGAGCCTGGCTTTTGGCAGATAGTCAGTATTTGGTGAGGGAATAAAATACGAGAGATTTAGTTTCTGTTGGTTAGTTGTCTCTGTTCAATGACAATTCATCATTTTATGTTTGTAGACACATGTACATGTATGCAAACTGCTCTAATCATTTTGGCCAGTCAGATCACTTCAGGTAACTATTATTTCAATGAGCCAAAGTATAACTGGTACAGAAAATCTGAACACCTGACTGAGCAAAAAATGTTGCTTTTTTTTTGTCAGTTGTTAAAGAGTTTTACAGATTAGCAAGCAACCATATGAAGAGTATAAGAGAAAAGAAACTAAACTGATTTTCAGTGTCTAAAGGAAATTTTATAAGTGTCAATCACACTAGTTAATATAGAGAAAGTCTAAGGAAAGTAAGTCATTGGTGTAACTATTTAAATAATCCCATCCAATAATAGCAGTAATAGTGATCTAGAATTTCTACAACAGTGCAGGATATTCCATTAAGAGGTAGCATGAATAAAAGTAGCTTTTAAGAGGAAGGACATTTTATAGCTGCATTTTACAGTTTTCGAAAATATTGAAAAAATAATTTTGTTAGCTGAATAAATTTTATTCTCTAAAATATTATTTGCAAAGGTATTTACTATTAATATCAATTTGGATAAAAAAATTAGGCTGAAAACATTTGTCATTATCTTTTTGTTTCCAAATACCAGCATCTTAGCAAACCAAACTTTATAACTACTGTCTTTTTCACTAGAGACTCTTTTGAGTCCAAATCATTAGTCTACCATGTGAAGGCTTATGCAATCTCCAAGCACAATAAGCTCTTAGATATTAGATCAATGGTGAGAAAGAAAAACTATGCAAACTCTATGCTCCAAAGGTGTTTGTGTGGAATATTTGTGCATTTTAAAGCTTGGAAACATTCAGAAATGGCCATATGTTAAAAATAGACATTTACATCAATTTAGAATCTGCAGTGAGAGATGTGAAGATAG